GGGCCCCCCACCCCCCCCCCCCCCCCCCCCCCCAAAAAACCAACAAAACAAAAACAAAAAAAACCCAACTAACAGAATTGCATCAGGTTCTTTCTGACAGGAAGCTGAGTGGTACAACTTCCTTTAAACATATTTTTTTTTCATTCTTTTCTTAACTATGCTGGTTAGAACTGTTCTGTTTTTCATTCCAGGGCAGCATCTTTTTTTTTTTTTTTTTTTGCAAAGCATGAAGACATAAAATAATTGCTTTTGAGACTTGTAGTTTGTGCTGTAAAATCTAAACCAACCAGAACATGCACTTAGCTCAGTAATGATGGTGCTTTAATTTCTGTAGTAACTAGACGAATTTTGATATTACATTGCACATTTCCCCTGAACCGAACACAGTCCTGTTACATTTGTGGTAACAACACAACACCTGGGGATATGCCAGAATGTCTCCTTTCAAACCACTGAGCACAAGAGGTAAGAAAAGAGTCCTCGCTGTGGTTTAGAGAGCAGCTGTGAGAAACAATGCCATGGGACCAAACACGTTCTACACCACCACCTTCATGTAAGTGCCTTAAGTATGGAACATCAAAAGCATCTCTCCAGCCCACACAAACATGCACTTTTACTGTTGTGAGCCGACATTAAAAGTGTTGCAATACAGTGAAATATCAAACAGTAATTTTGGTTCTAAGCTGTACAACACATAACACTGTGTGCAGTAATAACATCAAATGTATGTGCAACAACTTAAATTCACTAGTCTAATTTTACAGGCATTTCAAGAGCAAAATTCATCCCAGGCATAACAAGAAACCTCCATGCAGTGCGCACCCCACGCATAGGAGAAAATCTTCCTAAGCTTCCTGCAAACGGAGCTGAAGGGGGATGAACTCCAGTGGCCCTTCCCTGACCTCCAGCCAAGACACAGGCTGCCCCAGCACGTAGCTGCACTCACAGGTACACTGTGGGCTTGGAGCCTGCCTGATGTGTCACCAGACTTCCGTGACAATCATTAAACTATCGAACTGAGACTTGTTCTCTACTTTTCAATAACAAAGATTGGAAACAGATCAGTATTAATTTTTCCTATACAAAACAAATTATGCATAATTATCCTAGTTTATTAGGCAAGAGTAACTAACTTTTCAGAAATACATAATGAAAACCAATCACTTAATCCAAGAGAGCTGCAAGTTTTAAAACTTGGGACTTTCGAAAAGTATTTTTTCTCGTCTTAAGGGAAAGTTGTCAGCTGCAGAAACATTAATTCTTCACTTATTTTTAAAAACTGATGAGCTAGCTTTATATTTAAAAGATTTTAAAATAGCCACATACAAATTAACAGAAAAAATAAAACAATGAACCAAAAGGGTCTGTCAGAATTCAACTTTCTTCATTATATGACTATGGTTTTTTGAGGGGGTCACAGCAGCAGCAGGACACGTGATGACTAAAAGGACATAATATAGTTGCTACCACAACCCTTGCCTGCTAGTTTAACACCTGCTTCTTAGACTTATTTTATTCAAGAGCCTGTAACAACTGCTCAGACATCACTGTCAACACTAAATAAGTATATACTTAGGAAATTTTTGTTACCCATTTTGGATACATGAACATTGTTAGTATCAAACAGAAAGCCTCTTTATGCTTACTGCCAAGCATTCAGTCATTTTAAGGTGAAAGGTAAGCCAATGTGGGCATCATTAATTTTCTCCTTAACCTAAGTCAGCTGTGGATTCTTTCTATGCACTAGTGTCATTAACCAATAATTGAATTACAGTGTCTAGACTCTTCATATTACTCTGTAAAAGAAATGAGACCGTGCTGAAAGCCAGCAACACAAGACACAAATGAGACACACTAAACCGAAAACTCCCTCCCTCAAGAATTAGTTAGACCATTGCCAATTTCTGCACCAAAAGCCTTTCCAACTACATCAGCCACCACTTCCGTATTCTCTTCTCACAAGCTGCCATCAGCTACCTTCTCTCTATATACCTTATGTGGATCCCACAGGGGCAAAATACTGCAATTGAACTTCTCTGCTCTCGGGTTTTTTTGGCTTTAAGGGTGTTTAGTCCCTGATGAGACTATCACCTCAGAAAGACACCCACCCCAAGAAACTGGGAGGCTGTATGCTGCTCCTTACGCATCTGTCCAAGCAGGATGTGCTATCAAAGCTGGCAGCCCAAAACCAGAGCAGCAGAAGGGTATTTTATTCTTTTTTAGCTGAAATTTCGTCTTTACACCCACCCCGAGAACAAGCAAAGCTTTCTCAGAGATCGAGCACCCCCCGGAACCCGCCGAACCGGGAGATCTCCGGTCACCACCACCCTCAGCCCTGACCTGAAACCACAACGACAACCCCGCAGGCGAAGAAGCGCCTTTGGGGAGCGAACCCCGCGGCCGGCCGGAGCGGG